TATCTTCGATTACATGTTTTCATTGTATCCTCAAACTGGAGAAAAAAAGTGTGCTTACCCTTTGAACTATTATTATTGTTGTTATTGTTGTTGTTGTTGTTGCTATTGTTGTAGTTCTCGTGATCGTTGGTTTCGAGGAATATTTTAAATGTTATATTCTTTGATAAAGTTGAATATACCCTTATTTCCAATTAAAAGAAAATAGATGAGCAAAACATTTAAATTTTAAAATATTGTTCACTTTGTTTTCAAAAATCTACAATAAAACTAAACAATAGTTCAACAAAATTTAAACCTGTTGTGTAGGATGAGAAAGAACGCTGTTATACAGTAAAATTAGTTGGTAATAATACTTGCTTTCAATTCACATACAATATGATATCTGAGTTGGTCTAGTACTTTAAAGTCACTGTAATGAACTTAGACAAGAGTAGTCATATTGAGATTAACTACGATATGCTGAAAAAAATCGAAGTTTTCATGCGTTTCTTATACAATTGATTTTTATTCATAAATTATAATATTACCAGTATATTATTTTTGATATTGTCGTATTTAGATAACTAAAATACTTGGCTAATACGTATGTGTGTGTGTGTGTGTTTGTACAGATCGTTATGATTCCGACTTCTTTCTTTCTTATTATTTTGACAAGCATCTTTCTTTGTTATTAGCGTAGCGATTCTTGTATTAAATCAAAAGTTTTTTTCTCTTTAGTTGCACGTGTATTATTATTTCTTTCCATATATGCAGAGTGAGTTGTGCCGTTAAACGACATCATACTCATATATATATATATACTATTTTGAAAGAAGAGTAGACTATGAAAAAACATTATATACTTTCATCTATTTATAGTGTATGAGAAAGAAGAAAGAAGAAAGAAATCCATATATACGTACATTTATTTCATAGTTTGAAACAAAAAACAAAAGTAACATCAATAATTGTGTTACAAAAGGATAACATTCTGAAACAAAAAAAAAAAAAAAAATAGAAAGGAGAGATCATTGCGGGTGCATTAGAGTTGATGGAGACACTGAATCAATGTTTTATTTAAATTTGACACATGAAATACGCAAGAAAAAGGCGAGCAAAAAATATTGCACTGTGAGTGAGCATAGTGATTGACTTTTAAGATAAAGAAAAAAAATGTGTCAAAGACAACAATATGATTTCACAGATGATTGTATATTAATGAAGTGAGAGAGGGAGAAACTGACTGCAGGCGGAATGTCAACGTACAATGAGTGCCTTAACTCAAACACCTTTTTATGTCGACTAATATTTACTGACATTCTTGCGTAGTGTCTAACCTCAGAATGTCTAGTAATCCTAAAAATTGATCAGCATGTGAATGCTAACTGTGACGCTTGTCTTATTTTACTGGTCATCATCCGCTATTCGGATCGCATACAATGCATCATCTACAGTATAAAAAGTAGTTTTTGTTTTATCCTCCTCATTAAATTAAAATGCGATTAATATCTGTGATTGAATGCATTTAAAAGTTTTAAGAATATGACAGATCAATTTTTACCAACAACTATTCTAAATAGAAGTTTTTCGTAGTCAAATGAACATCTCCGCAAATGAAGTATTTTTTCAAACGTCTTTGGAAATTATGTTCATTTTGCAGTTGTTAATGGAACTAAGTAAACAATTTTTCTTACTGACCGATACACTTACTTAGTTTCATCGATTATCTTGCTGTTATAAATATTTGTTCTCGTTTCTTTTCCAGTTGTTAATCGATATTTATTGTTGTGCTACATTTGTCATAGATTAAAGACATTGTATTGCAGTAGTACTGCTGATGTTACTTATCAAACATCAATATATTGTACACTTGGCTATAGAGCATATCGTTTGTTCTTTCTATTTCCTAGTTCAGCACGCAGACATACACACACACATATATATATATATACTGATATAATAGTACTAATATAACTACACTCTTACTGTCAAAACACTCACAAAACAAGTCCCATATATACAGAACGTACACACTTATTTGTATTGTATTGTATTGCTCACGTTTTTTCTATATTCTCTTTCTTCCTTTTATATTTTAACGTTTTGTCATTTCTCAGGTCATTATCCGTTACTACAGAATTTAGAGTGCATCTACACGTATAGATACATTCATGCAGATCTATGAACAACTAACTGATCGACAATTTTGTTTTTTATAATCAGGAACAAATTGAAAATATATCCTTATAATAGATTTCTGTTGAAAATAAATAACGTATCATATTCTTTTAAGAAATGTGTGAAACATGATAAAATTGAATTCTATTTTGAATATATTATTTTTTTTAAGAATAAAGTTGAAATTTAATCGTATACCATTGATTTTTTGAATGACTTTTGTTAACTAAAGAGAGCAAAACATTCAATTCTTTTTTTTCATGATGTGTGTGTGTGTGTATATGCATCACTACTGTTTTATTTTTCGTACTCTTCTACTTGCGTAGTGCAAGTGTATTTCACTAATAACAAGACGATAATGATTTTTATTTCGAACAAAAACCCACACGTATTGATTTTTTGATGAAAAAAAGAAAGAAGAAACAATACAAATGGAAGATTCATGATAGAAAAATTCTTTTTTTTGAAAAATCGGAAATGTTTTGTGTGTATGTGTATGTATGATCAGCGTTAGAAGACTTATTTCCTGTTGAAAATTTTTGAAAAAAATGATTTGAAAGTATATTATGGAAAAATCATCAAACATTGTATCTTTCACCTGAATTTGCACAACAAAATGTTCAAAAAAGAGAAGAAAGATTCTATCATGCACTATCAATTAATATCAACTGCAAGCAAGATTTTATTGTTAATTCAATTAAATGCGTTCAATTGTACTTCCTTAACAGAATACTCGACTCTCTATATTTTGTCATTATCATTACTGATGATCAGTTTTATTTTTTTTCGACCATTTTTCTTGGTACTAGTGTACTAGTGTATATATATATTTTGACAATATTATTTTCTTATTCTTTTGTTAGTCGTTTTTCTTGATAAAAAGTTTAATTTCTTATATGTGTCTAATAATACTTGCTTTTGATTCACATACAATGTGCATAGTTTTTCTCTCTTCTTGTTTTTCCTCTCCCTCATGCAAATATCTTTCTATCTAAATGGTAAAGAAACAAGCGAGGAGAGGAAAAAATTGATATGTTTAGTATGAAAAGAAACAAAAAACGGTTGTGTGTGTGTGTGTGTGTGTGTGCATGCTTTAGAAAGTAGATCAACAATGCGAAGAACAATAACTCTTTTAAAGTGATTAACTCTTTTATCCGCTGCTGCTCTTTCCTTCTTCCGTCAGTGTGTGATATATTATCATCAAAATAAATTCAGTTGTTAATTCATACATTTAGAACTATCATTTGTGGTTAGTTAATCAGTCAAAATAATTTTAGTTTGTAGTCAAATAAAAAGGATAATATCTGTGTATTTTGAGATATAAAACGTGGTTATTCGATTTTATATGAAAGTTTTAAATATTTCATTATAGAAATGATAGCTATTAAATATCCAAACGGAATATTTAATAGTTGTATATCAATCGATTTTATTCTCTTTCTTGCAGCGGATAATTACTCTCGTGAAACAACTTCTTCTAAATCAAGATTTTGGGTAAAGTTTTTCTTTTAATTTTATTTTCATATGTAATATGATAGCTATAATTAGCAGATAAGCTCATGAATCTTACGATAAGATTTTCTATCTATCGATATCTTGTCATAAGAATTCAGAAATAGTTGCAAGATTGTGTCAGATATCGTATAATCTTTCAACATTTTGTATGACTTTTTATAAAAATTTATAAGAATTCATTAGAAACTTACTATTTATGTATCTTATCTGTTTCACAAACCTCTTAAAAGTTATTTTTCTCTTTATAATACATTCTAGTATAGGTAGGAGCTAGTTATCCATATGACTGTACCTGATCATGTTTCTTAACCATGTACTCTATTTATACTTAGCTGATGTATGAAATGATGAAGAAAAAACAATTTTAAAAGTTTTCTCATAAAGAAGTTACATATCTATATATACTTAAGTTCTATATAAATTGTTTGCAAGATCTTATTAGATCTTGTGACAAGAAATCGTATAATCTTGTGTGATCTTATTCTAGGGAATATAATCACGCTGACTCGACAATATACGCGATTTTGAGACAAGATCTGATAAGAACATGTGATAAAATTTTGTCAAAGAATTTTATAAGAAAACTACAGACCTTGTAAGATAAATTTTAGATGGGTAGGATTTATTTATAATGTTTTAGAAGAAGAAAAAAAAAATCGAAGTGGAATATTTCTAAGTGTAAAACATTTTCATTTGTATACATAACGGAGTATAAAACGAAATTGTGATTTAAAACTTATCATGATCTAGGATACAAGCAGTTTGACTAGAGTAATATTTATTAGAATGTTTGTATCAAGAAACAAGATATTTTTGCTGTTCAAACTATGTTAAATTTCTCGAACAAGTGAGTTAAAGTTTTGAGTATTAGTCAATTTATTTATAGAAATAAAAAATCAAAAGATGAATCTTTTGTGAACATTACTTTTCTTTTCCTTCTTCTTCTTATCAAAGTGTTTATGCTACTATAGGCAAAAATAATAATAGCTAATAGATAAAGGTATATTGATGTGCTGTCCACTTTTAATCGTTTCTTTTTTTCTTTTTTTTTTTTTCTTCTTTTCGTTGTATATGTATCGGCAGACCAGTGGTTGATAAGTGTTTGTATAAACTTATATTTAGCATTAAATGACAACTCACTCTGCTACCGTTGAGCTAAATCTTTTGATTTTTTAGAGTTCATTTTTTTTGTTCTGTACAGATAAATTAGAAATATTGTTAAATTTACTCTGTACTTTTAACTGGATCAATAATAATTATTCTTATTTATGTAAAAACTAAAAAAAAAAACATATATATGATTATCAGTGGTGAATAACTTGCAAAATATGTTTACAGAAAACTGGTAAATAATTGTTCAGTTCTTTTTTTTTGTTTTTTTCTTCTATTGTTTAGTACATTTAAAAACACGAATTTTGTTGAAAACGTATATATCAAAAAGAAAAAAAGATATAATCTTCACAGTATTATCTATACAATAACAGAGAAATTTCATATAATTTGTTTGCCATGACAACCAGTACATTTAAATTGTTTACGTAATACTGTAACACTTGTAATATTTAGATACTAGACAGAAATAAATATATAAATTCAATGAAAATAACTGACGATTTTTTTTTCTTTTTTATTTGAAAATAATTAAATTTAGTATTTCATAAATTTACTTGAATGAAAAAAATAATGTAATATTAATATGTTGAATAAATTTTTCATATGAGATTAATTAAAAACAAAAATTTCTCTCATTTATTCCGTAAATTTTTCATAGTTTGATTGTTAATCTTAATTTTGAATAATTATTTTATTTTATCTTTTATTTGTTTATTTTAGTCTTTTATATGGCTTAATTCAATTCGACAAACCGGAAGAAGCTAACAGGAAGAAATTTCTTTTGACGGTTAGTATAAAGACTATTTTCCAAAGTTTTAACAAATAAACACAATTAAACACTGGATGATTCATTTCAATGGTTTGTGTAGTCTATTCAAATATCGACAAATTTCTAGATCGTTAACATTGACAAAATGAAGCAAGTTTTTAGTACGAATATCCAACATCAATTCACAAAAGTTTGACTTTTCTATGATCACACAAATTCAGATATTTTTATCGTAACAATACTTGTGTTTCATAAGAAATCGTTTCTACATAAAAATCGCGATTATAGTCAACTATTTCGTCAATACATTACGATCTCATTCTTCTTGATGATCATATAAATTCACATCAAATATCATGAATAATTACATTTTGTAGATTGAACTATCTTCTTCAAAATCTATCACGGTTATAACGTGTATAATCTGCAAATATATCAGCAAAATCGTAATTTACTTACGTCTTGTTCCGATTTTTGACTGTACTACAGAACTGAACAACTCAAATTAAAGATGATGTAAGTCATCTGAAAACTTTTTTACGAGACTTGACTTGTGACCTGAAAAACTCATGATTTATCCAATAGTACACTTTACTTTCAATGTTTATAAACCTACTAGTTAGAGATTGGTTTTTTTTTATTCATCTAACGCTTTCTAAATTGAACGTAACTGAGCTCTTCTCACCTTTAATAATATCACATTTGTTTGAATTGAACTATATTAAAAGACATGATGGATTAGATATGAAAATTAGATGAATGAATGAATGAATGAATAAACATTTATTCAGTCAAAATACTCATCATCTGTTTGGTTTACTATTATATTACATTCATCTATTGGTCACTGTTGTATCGATATTTTAGGCAATCGAATTTTACGAAGAAAAAGTAAAAAATGAAAATGATCCGTTGACTTCAGCTCAATCGTATGTAAATATTGGACATTGGCATTTACTGTTAAATGATTATAGCAAAGGTATTTTTTCATTTATTCTATTTTTAATTTTATTTTTCTATATTCTTCTTTTTGTCTTTGTTTAGCTCTCTCCGCTTATCAAGCTGCTTATGCGCTTCGTACAAAATTAAATCAAGTAAGTAGTGGTAAAAAGACCTGAGAAGAAAAAGTATTGAGATGATTTTTTTTTGTTTTGATAAATGTTTGATAGTGGTTCTCGTTATTTTTACCATAATAACTAGATGAGATATCAAAGAACAAATTGATAGCTACGAGGGGATATAAGAGCGAATATAGTTGAATTTAGGTCTTATTATGATGAAAGCTAATGGCGAAATCAGACTTTTATTTATAGTCTTGTGATTTTGTTCATTTTTTTTTTGATACATGAAAGAATGACGTTTACTATTATTACAAATAAGTTAATAACAAAACTATTTAGGATAAAATGTCTCTCTTGTTCATTGTCGTCCAATATCTCTGATATCTACGTTACTATTTATATAGATTGTTCTTTTCTTTTTCTATTTCTAGAGTCCTGAATTATTGTTTGGTCTCGGCATTGTTTATGCATATTTTGGATCAAATAATCAGTATGTATACTCCCTATATGTTAGTTTTTAGTTGAGAATGGATTAACCCGTCAGTTTTTGTCAGATATCTCTCAAAAGTTATTTATTAATAATGAAAATTTTAAATAACGAATGATTTTACTTGATCTAAAACTTTTCCCATGTTCAGCATTTATGACGCTGTATAGTTTATATAATATTGGCAACCAACACGCCTCATGAGAGAGTTTCACTAAGACTTTTGTAAGCATGTTTGTGGTAAATACTTTCATATATCTGAACAGTTAATACATTCTGATGCTGTTTGAGAAATGTAGATATATATTATTTTATTGATTCAATACTAGTTTTTTGTTATACTAGTTGTTTCTTTTAATTTGTATCTTATCCTTGAACTCGATGGCGAATATACGTGCTAGAAGCCAGAATATTTTCTGTTAAACTTATTGTATGCGACATTTGTGTTCAATCTTATTTTTGCTGTATTGTTCTATATTTTTTTTCTAAAACTGATTGTTTTTAAAGTCTATTATTATGTACTTCATCTCTTTTAAACTGGTCCGATATGTCTGTATTACAGACAAATACTATTTTACGATATGCGCTACATAAGTTATAAGCAGTTCAGTCAACAACAGTTCTTAGTTAGTTTAATCTAATTTAATAGATATAAAAGTTTACTGACTGCGGAAATTATTGTTTCGTAAAATTATCATTTATCACGCGGCTACTATCTCTTTCAAAAATCAACAAAGTATGTTCTTTTGAATACTCGCAATTTTCACTAATCGATAGAGAAGAAATAGAAATGTCGTTTTAAAAGAAAAATAAATAAATTAATAAAAATTATTTTCTGAAGTGAAGTTTTGAAAGAAAAACTTTGAAAAATCAATCTATTTCTCTAAAAATTTAATAATTGTCAAGTGGCAATATAGTGTTTTTATGGAGTAACCCATGAACTCACGTTTTCAGGCTGTTTTCATCTGAGATTAAAAAATGCATAACTCACTCAAAATACATTATAACCAGCTGAAAATTTTCCAAGATGTACATTATGTGGTTATTCTGTATCCAAGTGATAAGGAATCTGCAAAACGACTTGTCCACGTAAAAGTCCACGTTTTGGTTAGTCCATGCTCATGAGAGTTTGCTTGACTGTCATATTAAAGACGACAGTTTACTCTACAAAATCAGACATTGTCCAGGCTATTACGTTATTTCATTGCGGAGCTATAATTAATTATTTCAAAACGTAACAGACTGACTTTTTTTGGACGTGAACAAGTCCAAAAATATTTATAAAAACTTTATGAACCTTCGATAAACTTTCTAAAAGCATTGGAACAAAAAGGTGCTTTTTTCCTTTTTTTTCAATGTCGAAATCACGTTTAGCAGACAAAAATTATTAATATCTTGACATTTTCAGCTGATTATAATGTATTTTGAGTGGGTTATGCATTTTTTAATCTCAGATGAAAACAGCCTGAAAATGTGAGTTCAAGGGTTACTCCATAAAAACACTATATTGCCACTTGCCAATTTTTAGAGAAATAGATTAATTTTTCAAAGTTTTTCTTTCAAAACTTCACTTCAGAAAATAATTTTTATTAATTTATTTTTTTTTCTTTTGAAAAGACATTTCTATTTCTTTTCTATCGATTAGTGAAAAGCATCAGTCTGAGTGTAACTTTCTTCATTTAAAAGATATTTACAACATCCATGCTTTTGATTTGAAAACGGAGACAAGAAAAGTAATATAACATATATTTCGAGTGAACTCCGAGTATCACAAAAAATCTTTTCTTCGTTCTATAAGATTTTTATTCTCACTTACGAGGGAACCTTTCGAGATGTCCCCTTCCGATTCCAATGATCGAAAGACCTCAGTGAGGTAGTAAATACCCTAAAATGAGTCGTACCCATGACTCTTCAGGACCCGGTTTTCTGGAAAACCATTTTTCAAGAATTCTAAAAAATAATCCAAACCTTTTTTTAATAAGACATGATTGTAGCCCGCAAATTTCTGATTAAAATAAAACATCTCTCAGCTCTACACGACCTTTCTTTGCAAACTTATAAAATTTACAAGAAAAGCCCTAAATTAATTTCTCCTTATTTCTGCAGTTTTGAGCTAACAATAAACATTTAGGGCTTTTCTTGTAAATTTTATAAGTTTGCAAAGAAAGGTCATGTAAAGCTGAGAGATGTTTTATTTTAATCAGAAATTTGCGGGCTACAATCATGTAAAAAAAGGTTTGGATTATATTTTAGAGTTGTTGAAAAACGGAGTCTTCAAGAGTCATGGGCACGAATTCTTTTAGGTTATTTACTGCCTCACTGAGGTCTATCGATCCATATACAAATCATTGGAATCGGAAGGGGAGATCTCGAAAAGTTCCCTCGTTAGATATAAAAATAGAACTATGGAAGTCATGTTTCGTGTAAAATTAAATGAGACGTGCGAAATATGCTGGTATTTAGTAATAACTGAATAGTTATGCTCCGTCGCGTAAGATCAATTAGTATTAGATCTATTTGTATGCAATATCCAAATTCTTTGTTTGACATAATACACATGATTTCCGTTTATTCGTTAGTAATCTCAATTCTATGTACATATATTTTTTGTCTCAGTTTCTTTTCTTTTTCTCAAACAGAATGATATTTCCTGTCTGTATATATATATATATACACACCCTAAAACGCTCATGTGAATGAAACAGAGAGAAAAAGAGTCAGTTAAATTTCTCGAGAAGAAAAGAAGAGAAAACTCACTGAGTTATTATATCGAAACATAATGAGACTTATTTTGTGGGAACGAAAAAAAGCATCTTTTTTTTTATGAGTGTGTATGCGTATGTGTTCTATTCTGCCAAGGTTGTATACATGTTTTTCTTTCTCTCGTTTGCGGTCTATATGTGTTTGAATAGAAGAACGACACGAGGTTTGTTTTTTGAAATACATCAAACATATGATATTATTTTTTAAAAAAAAAGAAGTCCATTGAGTGAGAAACAGTGGCGTCTCTTTTTTTCATTTGTTCCAGACACACAAGTAGGATAAAACAATGAAACTTCTAGAAGAATTTTACTCATGCACTTCATTCGCTTTTTATTAGCGAACTCAGTTTTGACTACTTGTTATTCAAATTTTACCACTTTTCTGAAGTTCTATCACTGACTCTTTTTCACCTTTTGTATAATAATCTAAACAAGAATAATATCCTCGAATGTTTAAATTGTTTTTATTTTCTCTCATCTTAGTGCAATCCGTGCATTTCAACAAGTATTATATACAGATTCAAATTTTCCACGTCGTGCAGAAGTTCATATTCGTCTCGGTTTTATTTATAAACAATTACTTGACTATCGATCAAGTTTAAAACATTTTTTACGTTCATATAATGATTCAACTTTAGCTAATGGTTGTACGTTGAGTAAAAAAGAAATTTTATTTTTTATTGGACGTTTGTACGAAATACAAGGTGATATACAAGAAGCACACGACACATATGAAAAATTAGTATCAACATTTGTTCCTGCAGAACAGGCTACATTATCATCGAACGGTGAACAACGCAACGAACATAAATTAGAAGCAAAAGTATTAAGACAATTGGGTTGGCTATATTATTATCATACGGGTGATTTACAGTTAGGATACGATAAAGAACAACGTTTAAAAAAAGCAATTCAGTCATTAGAAACATCTATTAAATACGATAATACGTGTGGAATATCATTTTATTATTTGGGACGATGTTATGCCGCATGCAAAAAACATACTGAAGCTTTTTTCACCTATAGAAATTGTGTCGATAAATTAGATCAAAATGCCGATGTTTGGTGTTCAATTGGGTATGTTTTAGAATATCTCATTTTCTATAGTGAACTATTCATACTGATTTAGTTAATATTGCTTAAATATTTTCAGCTAAATTTTTATCATAGCTAATCGGAAGTTATAGAATAGCATAATCGGTCTATTAAATAACGATTATTTTATTTTCTTGAAAGATGAAATCTTTTGTTTTAATGGTCAGGATTCTTAAACGTCTGAAATCTGTGAACTAGTAGAAGTTTCTATTTCTGATCCACATTCTAAAATATTAACACTCTGATCCTTACTACTTTTGATATATTTGATTCATCAAAGTGTTATCTTACCTTTTCAGAGTCCTTTATCAGCATCAAAATCAAACAATGGATGCTTTACAAGCTTTCGTGTGTGCAATACAAATCGACAATAAACACTCGACAGCATGGATGGATTTAGGTAACTATTCACTTCCTTCTTTCCATGTAATCGTTTATTGATATAAATATTTTTTCTCTAAAAGGAATATTATATGAAGCATCCAGTCAACCACAAGATGCTCTATCGTGTTATTTAAAAGCAGTTAAAGAAAAAGACGGTAATATCTCATTGTTTACTCGGTGAATTAATGATGATAATATTCTTTTCATATAGATTCTAGCAATTCTGAACTTCGTTTACGTATAACACAATTACAAACATTTTTAAACCAAATTCCTGATACAATCCTTTCTAAGCAGTATGAATTTAGTTTTCAACTTCATATCTATTTTATTATCTTATATTTGTTTGTTATCATAGAACGCGTGGTCCATTACCCAAAATTGACGAAGCATTTACATTACCAATTCCAGCAGAACTTACAGCGAAACAACAACAAATACAACAAAACTCAGTTTGTCAATCACTTCAACAACCTACACAAGCAATAGCTAATTCTTCCACTACAAGTAGGTTATTGTCGTTATTTCCACTAATTTTTTTACACATGCATCAAAAAAATTTGTACAAAAACCTAATTAAAAATATAATATAATAATATTAAAAACTAAGAATCGAGTTAAACTTTAGTTTAAAGTAGATGATGAGTTTTGACAAAGAAGTACAAAGACTTTAATCTTAGTTGAATATAAGGTATTTCTGTGTTGTTTTATCTCTTTTCGAGTATAGTTTCACTGATATACATATTTCTAAACAACTCTTAACATCTCTATTACACAGAGGTGGTGGTAAAAAGAAATAATTGAAAATATTTACTGACAAACAGATAATATCCATTGGTCGTGTATTGCTTATCAGTTCATGTAAACTTTTACTATGATTATACATACGCGAATAAAACGTTGTTTCATCATCGAGAGAGTGGCAGAAAAGATAGAAAAATAAAACTAAATATGTACAGACGAAAAACATATGGATAACAAAGATTTGATCGTTCTTTTTTCTCAACGTTTCTTGAATGTAGGCTTTATTTGTGGAAGTTACGGCATATTACATTAGGAAATATTTGTTTTGTGTTGTTAAAAAATTTGCTGCTTCTGAACACGTTGCTACTACAACGTGACACTTTCTTCGTTATGTCATTGACACATGTTCAATAGCATATAACTACATATGAGTACACAGTCATGAGATTGATTGAAGTCGTTGCTCTCTTGACCCTTGTATAGCGTATGCAAAGTATACATAACTTATTTTACGGCGTCTCAATAAGCTTTCCTTTATGTAACTAATTTTATTTGATTGCTTGTTCTAGATCCCTCATCTGAATCAATTTTTAACAGTAGCCATCTTCATCCACCTCTTATTGCTCAGCCACAATCTACATCCATGATGATGAATTCTAACAGTACAGATTCAAATACCATCGATTTATTACAAACTTCAAAAAATCCAAAACGTTTGAAAACTAGTGATGAAGCGTCTGAACAAACATTACCAAATGAGACAAAAATTTCTGCACCTCAACAAAATTTAGATTCCATTCGTATCGATAAAAAACTATTGAATTCTGATTTACATAAAGATGAACGTTTGAAACGAGCTCAACTCGATCAGCAAGCTCCATCAATTCCATACAGTGATATTACATCTTATGAATTAACAAAACTAATTAAAAACTATGCATCTACATATCCACCATCTCAAGTGAGTTATTTACCTGATGGACGTATTCCAGTTCCACCTCCACCTCCGTTGCCACCATTAACAAAAGATCAACTAAATCCTCCTACACCATCTGTTCTCCTCGAAACGCGTCGTGAAGCAACATCACCTCAATTACAACAATATTGTCTCTCACAACCAATTACTGTTATCCGTGGTCTAGCCAATGTTCTCAAATTAGATTTAGGTTTATTTTCAACAAAGACACTAGTTGAAATGCATCCGGAACATCAGATTGAAGTAAGAACACAACGTCAACAACCATCGGATGAAAATGTAGATCAAACAGTGACAACATATAAAAAAAACATTTGGAAATGTGAATCAAATCGATCTTATACAACAATTTTGAAGTATGCACAATATCAGGCATATTCTTATCATGAAATGATTAAAGACGAACAACAGCATGATACATCACTACCCTATGCAGAACAAAATCAAACGTCGTTGAATATGCTTGTCAATGGAAATAAAACTAAACAAAATAAACAAATAAGTATGTTATTAGTCTTATTTTCTTATTCGAGTGGATAGTGAAAAAGATTGTTTTTCTGTGGATCTATTAAATCTTCGCATGTTTTTTTTAAGCGGATAAAATTACTAATCATACATGAATTTGTATTTATGCTAGTAGTGCAAAGAAGCCTCGGAATGATCTTGTTTTCTCATGTTAACAGACACTGGTCCTGGTACATTTTAACTCTTTACGCTTGTTCGAAGACCATTACCATATATGATAATAAGTTCTATAAAAAGAAGCGAAATCCCAAGCATAAAAAAAAATCTATTATCGCCCGATTCATCCAGACTACTAGATTTTTACTCGATTGTTATTATTTAGTTATGACAGTGGAAATCTAGTAATCGGGCGATTGCTAGATTTCTCCTCAATGCAGCTCTTTATTTGTCGCCCGATAATCGATCGATTTAACTATTGCTAGTTGTACATGCAGACACGTCTAGTTAAAAGTCCATTGTCCAACTAGTAATCTAGATAGCAACTAGTCGGGCATCGTCCGATTACAGATAAAATGTATCTAGATTTTTCGCATAGGTGATTTTTGCAGGGGATAGCAAATAAAAACATGGATTTTTTTCTAGTGTAAACTGAGAGCATAAGGTAGTAGTTGCTAGTAAGAAATTTATTTTTATCAAGATTAAACAAAGATATACGAGTTTCAAGTGCGATTTGTATGATCAACTGCCGGTGATAAACGGTTAAGTGAGTTATGAATATATTGATTTTAGCTGACAACAGCCTAGAATCTTTAATTTTTTGAAACTTGCTTTTCAACAACTATTTGAATTCTTTTTCAAAAACAAACATTGCCACACGATTCTACGGTATTGTGATAAAACAGACTACTTGGTTTCGTATTATGTTAGTTAGCCATATGCACTTGATAAGACTATTTTATTTACCATTGATAACTATAAAGTAGTGAAGCTTTTACATACCTAACTACGGCTGTTTACTTGTACGAATGCTCATGGATAGTGCTAAGAAACATTTGTAAACTATGAAACTATTTCGATACTGTAAAAATAATTTCCGTCAATAAGTACTATTGATATTTATTTAGCCATCCATTTTCGAATCAACAAATAAATAAAAATTAAATATCGTTTTTGTGCAGTACTAACTAACTGTAAAAGCTAATATTCCGCAGTGTTGGTGTGATATGAACACCCGTTGTTAACATCCATGTTAACAACGGGTATTTATATCACAAATGTAATCAGAATTGTTTACGATGGTTTATTAATACGTCATGTAACAACTAATTACCATCAACATAAACAGAATTGACGACAGGACCTCGTCGAATTTTTTTCAAATTCTGCCACCCGATATTATCAAAAGCCTATGAGTGGGATGTATAGCCTGTCTCACGACGAGTGTAGCCAGTTTATTTTTATCCTCTTGAATCATCGGGCACATAGTGATAAATGAAGTTTTCTTATGACTTCTCGTTGTCGACATATTCATAGTAACAATCTCTAATCTAACTAATCTTAGATCAATCGGTTTGCAGAACTGAACAGAAGAGAATGAGATGCATAATATCCTTTAAGAAAAGCTTTTTAAAGCTGCTCTAACACCTGTTTTGTGAAAACTTCCAAAGACATATCTGATTTCCGAAGGAAATTGAAGTTTGAAGTATAACGTTTAGATACGAGTTGAGGCAGTTTAAATGCCATTTTGTTTACAACATCTTAAATGTTTGCGTTTACAAGATGTTAAAAATGCGTTTACAATTAGATATATTCTTATTAGGTGCACGAAGTTTACTTGGAAGTTTTCACGTTTTTGCTTCACAGAAGCAACGCTGACGAGCTTTTTTAAGTATAAGTGCTCTTTCAAACCTTTGTACATGAGATGATTTTTTTCTCTCCAGGGAACCTTTCGTGTCTGTGACTCTTGAAGACTCGATTTTGTGAAAAACTAGGTTTTCAAGAACTCTAAAGAATAACCCAACCTTTTTTTAATGAGACATGATTGTAGCCCGCAAATTTCTGATTAAAATAAGACATCTCTCAGCTCTACACGACCTTTCTTTGCAAACTTATAAAATTTACAAGAAAAGCCCTAAACGTTTATTGTTAGCTCAAAGCTGCAGAAATAAGGAGAAATTAATTTAGGGCTTTTCTTGTAAATTTTATAAGTTTGCAAAGAAAGGTCGTGTAGAGCTGAGAGATGTCTTATTTTAATCAGAAATTTGCGGGCTACAATCATGTCTCATTAAAAAAAGGTTTGGATTATTTTTTAGAGTTCTTGAAAAAATGGTTTTCCAGAAAACCAGATCGTGAAGAGTCATGGGTATGAATCCTTTTAGATTATTTACTATCTCACTGAGGTCTATCGATCCATATACAAATCATTGGAATCGGAAGGACATCTGGAAAAGTTCCCTCGTCAGCTTTATTATTAAAATTTGTTTGTATGTTATGTATAAGTTATCCTGAGTGTATACTAAAAGCACAAGAGACTATTGTTTTCATTTATCGTTTTAACCTCTTCTGTAGTTAAGATAAATACGTGTGGAGCTCAACGAACTCAAAGATGTAAAGATATCGTTAAACTGTTCTTTCTGAATGAAATTCTTATTTGTAATCAGACTCCACTTTATAACCTGTATCCATCTTCTAATTGAAATCCGAATTTTTCATAATTTTTCTCTCCCTTTATGTTTAGATGGCAATGGTCTTCATTCAACATCATCATTATCTGATCCTCAACAATATAAACGTGCATTGCGCACAATTAAATTCGGTACAAATGTTGATTTATCCGATGAACGTAAATGGTCATTACAGTTACAAGAATTAGCAAAATTACCATTATTTATGAGAGTTGTATCGGCTGGAAATATCCTATCACATGTTGGATATACAATTTTAGGAATGAACAGTGTTCAATTGTATATGAAGGTTCCCGGAAGTCGAACACCTGGTCATCAAGAAAATAATAATTTTTGTTCAGTTAATATGAATATAGGACCGGGTGATTGTGAATGGTTTGGAATATCAAATGAATATTGGGGTGTTATTAATCAATTGTGTGAAAAGAATGGTACCAACTTTTTAACAGGATCATGGTGGCCAATTTTAGATGATTTATATGAAGCAAATGTACCAGTCTATAGATTTTTACAAAAACCAGGTAAATCTTTTGTATGCTCTCATATCTCACTAAACTTAATGAACATTATTTAGGTGATCTTGTTTGGGTAAATTGTGGTTGTATTCATTGGGTTCAATCTGTTGGCTGGTGTAATAATATTGCATGGAATGTTGGTCCATTGACACATCAACAATATACAATTTCAATCGAACGTTATGAATGGAATAAATTGTGTCAAGTAAAATCAATAGTTCCAATGATTCATTTAACATGGAATATAGCACGAAATATTCGTATTAACGATAAAAAACTATACGATATTATTAAATATATTTTATTTCAATCATTAAAATATATTCAATTATGTTTACAATATTTAGATTTAAATTTTGGTCAAACAATTGAATTACGAAAACAATTACGACAAATACAAGAGCCAGCTCATTATTGTATTAATTGTGAAATTGAAGTATTCAATATTTTATTTGTTAGTGAACAAGATCGAAAACATGTTGTACGATGTCTCGATTGTGCTTTACAATTAGATAAAAATTTAGAAAATTTTGTTGTTCTTTATCAATTTTCAATAGATGATTTAAAAACTATCTATGATCAATTTCAATTATATGTATTGCCTACTTTTACACCGAGAATACCATTATCATTACCAGCGCCATCACAATCACACAATCCTTCATCATCAACAACAACAACAACAACAACAACAACTTAACCTTGCTTTTTCCATACTAATTTATTTTACTGTTGAACTAAATCATAAAGAATGTCTAGTCTCAACGAGTACAGTTTCAATCTTTTTTTTTTATCACACTGATGTAACTAAAGATTATACCTTTTTAAAAATATTGTCGTATTTATTAGATAAGATATATTTAATTTTTGATTTTATTTTGTCTAATACAGGGACGCTTAACAGCATAGAAATATGTCTGAATTTCACTCAGGAACTAACTGTGCGTGTCCATTCTTTTATAAATCAATTGAGTTCTTCTTTTTCTTGTTTGATTCTTACATTTTGTTGTTGTTATTTTGTTTGTGTATTTCGCGATTGTTACTCCGTCCAGATAAACATAAGGGAGAAAAAGTGGCTGCTTTTGTTGTTGGTTTTTTTTTTAAATATATTTTTCTTTTTCATCTTAAATGTTGTTTTTGGCAAACATTTTCAGGTCTCTGTATAGTTAGTTGTAGATTATCTTGTGTTAGGAGCAGTGACGAAACTGATGAAAATTTCCTTCTCTTTTTTGTTTTGTTTTTCTAAATTTTATCCAAACTTCATACATCTCTATCAACCTCTAGAGACACTTTACATAGTATATGATATGTATTGTATTGTGTAATTTAAATTTTGTATGTGTACAAAAAAAAAACATATGTATCTCGATTTTGAAGAGACTCTATGTGTGTCTATTTGTTGCTATTAATAGTTGTTGTTTTTTTTTGTACAAGAGAAAAGAAAGTTGTTAGTTTTATTCGCTGTATTATTCATTCTATTTTTATAATAAAAAGAAATACATACACACATACGTATGCAACATGACATATACTACTAGCCTTATTTGTTACATCTTACAAAATATATATATTATTAATTTTATTTTTGTTACCTATTGAATGATGATAGAATACAAAAAATTTTATATTGCTGTTTAATACAGTTATATATATTTGAACAAAATATTACAAAAGTTTACCTTATTGATTATTAATAACAGAAACAAAATCAAAAACAAAAATAATTATGATTGGTTTTTCACGATTGAAAATGAGCCACATGTTGAAGATGAAAATAAAAAAAACATTTTATGTCATCAAATTTAAACTTACGTACACTGCTATTCGTTGATGATTGAAGAAATACGAACTAATCTTAATTTAATATACCGGCATACAAAAATTTATTATTAATTAAATGATGTTTTTGTCCATGTATTAGATTAGAAGAAATTTCTAAAATATTGTCACTGATATGATATACTTATATTCAAAAGTTTTGTTAATCGAAGTAAAAAAAATAACATTTTTGATATTGCAAAAGATTTTTGAAAGAATAATTTGTTTGTCATATTTGATGTAAAAAGAAAAAAAACTACGTTATAAAACAAATAAATTTCTCATGTTTGTAAATGAAAAGTGATATTATACTATAATTTCATCAGAAATGACTAACATATGAATAATCAGAAAAACATTGTTACATGTAAAATTTTTTTGAAATTAATTTGTCACTTTCAGTATACAAAAATGATATGATAGTGGCGTTAAAAAAAAAAGAAAATCTTTCGAGACATGTGTTATTCCAAAGGATTAACCTTCTATCGAAGGTCTTATTTATTCAACTAGAAAATTATGAATGAAGAGGATGACAGTGCACTTTTTTGACCTTTTTGCATTTTTCCGTTTTTTTTTTTTTTATTTCAGTTACAATAACATCAGATATCATAATCGTACTCAAAGTCAACAATTAGACTAGAAAAAGAAGAAATATAATAAAAAAATTGCGCAGATTATTTCTTTTGTTTTGGTTGCCATTTGACCTATAAAGGTCTTTACCAGATATGATAGTATAGAAACATGTTTCTACATAGACTAACAAATTGAAACGAAAGATGTTGTTCCCATACAACAGAACAATTTTTTTTTTCTTCTTCTTCTTCTCTTTCTATTCTATGGTCTTGCTGAGAAGAAAAAAAAGAAAATCTTTGTCATTTCTTCTTCTTTTCACTCTTGCCCATATATTAATTATAGTGAAGAAGAAGAAGAAAAAAAAGAAGAGAAATCAGAGAACGAAGGTTATAGACTAACATAAATTTGAATGTTGAGTGGGATCAAGATTAATAGTACAGAAGAAAAGAAAAAGAAAAAAAAAAACACATATAGAGAACGCGTCTTCTGCAGAGAATATATGAATTGGTAAAGAATTTGACTGTATCCATTGAATAATTAATGTGTAATTTTTTAAATTCTTATTAAAAAAAAGAAATTATGGAAAATGAACGATGAAATGACGGTAGTTATAGATGAACAAAAACAAGGTGAAAACAATGATCATGACGAAGAAAAACAACGGCAAGAACAAAATGAAAAAGGTAATAGGACAAATTTTTTTTATTTGTACATAAATCAAGTGTATGGTTTTTTTTTGAACTACATATTATTATTTATAATAGTTATAGCTATTATAATTGACTCTTTTTCTGACATTGTTTCAATATGATCGAAAAACAACAATACAATAACGCGTTTGTTAAAGATTTAATTCATTTTTTTTCTCCAACGGATTAGTCGGTTGATAATTCGTTGATTCTAAAGAAAGAAGAGGATCATCCATTAAATTTTAGAGCGTTGATAATAGAGCGATGACAATAATCTATTGATTTTACTTTAGTTCGTTTTTTTTTTTTGACTCTTGAGAAAACGTTATAAAAGAATTTTGCCATGTTTTTTAGAGAAAAATAACAAAAGAACTGTACGAGAATATTTCAAAATAAATCAAACTTGATTGTATAAAAAATAAATTAAAATAAATATAAAGATTTTTATTCGAAGGACAACTTCTAACATGTCCATGAAACTTAATGGCAATAGACAGTTGTATATGACAGATAATTTTGATCATAAACAACGCCACAGCAGCTTTAGTCCTTTTATTAAAGGCCAGACCATTATTTTCAAGGTTTATTCTCACTCTTTGTACTAGGTAGTTGTCATGAACTTGAAATAAGTGGTTGTAGGATACGAATCATTTACGAACGTGTATGCATGCGTTTATATTTACACGGGTGTTTTTTTTAGTAGGTATAACAAGAGGAAAAAGGTCACGAAGTGTCGTATTACAAATTAAAGGAAAAAAAATAAAAATGAAGAAAGTTAAGAAAATCGAAGTAAAAACTGATTAGGAAAAATGAATATTTTGTAAGTTGAAAAAAAATATTTCTTTTATAAGTTAAAATCTTCAAAATAGAGGAAAAATATGTCTCCAATTGGTAGAATATTTATAAAATGATATCTTTGTTTTATGCTCCAGCCGCCAGTGCTTTTTGTTTTTGGTCAACAAAATGGATTGTACTATAGTAATGTGTGAAATTTTACATTAGCAAAAAATATTCGACTACAAGATATTTCAAGACGATCGATTTTTTTTTTAAAATATAGATTTCTGTTCATAGATACTGTTTTAATTTTCTATAGAAATCTTTATGTTTAAAGATGAGAAATTCTATGATATTGAGTGAAATTTTAAGAATGATCAAAAATAGATTTGAATTTAAGACAGTTTCAGATTAAAAATACTTTGATATTTTAAATATTTCTTTCCTGTTTTTTTGAATGTCCTTCGTCGATCTTTTCTTCTTTTCTTCTGATTTTCTACTCATTCTTACATACATATGTTGTTGTAGTCAAGACAGAAATTTAGCTGAATTCTGAACTTTACACGGCTAATGCATACATTTTGTCTGGACAAAATTTGTAATTTTACTATACACAAGAAAATCTCAGTGTTAATTGGTCAAATTCAAAATTTAAACTCGAAATTCGTAAATAGACGATATAAAAAAGTCTGAAACACTTTTCATAGAATAAACTTGATCGAGTATTATAGTTCTCTCAAATACATTTTATCGCTAATTTTAATTTTTCATTGTGAGAAAAAAAATGAGAATGAGATGGAAGTAAGAATATGAAATGTTAATCAAAAGTCAAATTATGACGAAATTTTTCTGTAAAGAAACATATGTAATTTGTTTTATGCCTTCATTCTCGCAATTTTTGCAACCTGGAAAACTGTTATTCACGAAGTTCGGTCAAAAACTATGAATTTGCTTAATTGAAACTACAATTTCACTTTATCTAATAAGATTTTTTATATTTGTCTAGGTAGAGTTAAATGTTAACAGATGGCCAAAAAATATTTTAAATTCAATTAAGTAAATTAGAAATTTGACTAAAGTCTAGCAGAGATGAATGACTATGACTAAATACTCGTATTCGAGTACTCGGATGAAAACCTATTTAACTAAAAAGCAAAGGAGTTCAGAAGAGACTAATCGATATACTATCATTACACTATCATTACAAACCTGTTTTTTTATCAAAAAATTTGTATTCGAATACATACTCGAGTAAAACTGTTTTGTACTCATACACGTACACATACTCGAAAAAGTGTGTACTCACTCATCTCTGAATTCTAGTTTGATAATAACATATGTATGTGTACATGTGTAGTGAGTCCGAAAACTATCTGATCATCTTTATTTCTAGTGAAATAGAGTAAACATGTCTGAACAAAATAAAACTTCTACGAGCTCTGCACAACATTTTCCTCATCAAACTACATTCAACTCACGAAAGACTGAAAGAAGTTTTTTTAACTTATTGTCGATTTTGTTAGTTTTGACGATCCGAGGTCTTCCCTAAATGGAAGACTCATTTTCACACTAAACGTCTTGTAGTCATTTGGAAATTGTTTTGTTCATAAATTAACTCAGAGTGATGGAAACTTCTTGATATTTCTTATGTAGAACATTATAAATAAATGCTCTTTGTGGTAAAAAAAACAGAGTCAAGCCCATGAGTAATTGACCATAGCACTCATTTTTTGTCAAAAATGTCTCATAATCATTTTGTCTAATTTTGATTCGTAAAGAAGTAGGGCTAAAATTAGCCGTAAAAATTAGTTTTATATCCTATGCAATCGGTTATACTCTTGAAAGAAAGACTTACCAGATCTGAAGAGTACCTACTAACAACTTTGAATAAGCCCGTATTTAACAGTAAATCATTTACAGCTTCTGAAAGAAAGACTTTTAAGTAGAGAAAGATCTCATTTTGTAGAGTACAGACATGTTTTAGTTAATATTTAATAAAATTCATTTTCAGCTCGAGAGATCGTTAAGGAATTTCAAATGACCATGAGTTTTGATAGTACGGACACCCAAGAACAATACTAAATACCGATATATAAAAATAATTTTTGAGTCTAGTTCATCTTAAAAGGTAATTTTCATCAGAACGGTAGTACATTATACTCACCCACGTCTCATTTATATGTATAAATACTCAAAAAAAAGAAAAAAAGAGAAAAGAAGATTGTTTTTTTCCTTTCTCTCAATATATGTCGGTGACCTTTTACGTCTCGTGATACTTTGTTTAAACTCACGACCCAATTTTTCAAACAAAATCAAATATTTGGGCTAATATCTACGTATCTATGTGACCTGGTTTTTATTTTTCAAAATATTGTACCAATACGATTCGAAAAGAAAAAGAGAAGGAAGAAGAAAAGAAAAAAGCGTCGCAAAATTTGCTACTCACGGATAAAAATAATAGAACATAGAATTATAATAATCTAAAAGGTTTATTAGGAACAAAACAAGAACGTTTTGGAAAAAAAATAGCCATTTGTAGTATACAAAAAAAGTGAAGAGGTGATTACATTTTATTTATGTTACCTATATCCCCATTCTGATTTGTCACGTGCATTTTTCTTTAGTACTTCTTTTACAGAAAATAAACGAGAATCAAATGGACTAGTTATTGAAATAAAGAAGTGAGATAAAAATAGTATTTTAGTTTCAATGGACTACTTTTTAAATATTTACTTTATATTAGTCATGTTTTTTCTAAGGTTAATTTGTGTGTTTGAAATACTCTGATTAGACTGCGCATATATTATCTCCATTATTAACCTAATCAGTTTTAGTTATCTATAATTTGTTATCTAATCTTTCAATTTGTATTATCTAGCTAAAAATAAATGAATATTATTGTGTTTTTATTATTGTGTTCTTCATCTATGAATATCTATTATCTTTGGTTTTAACTTGTGTAATTTATCCAATATCTTTATTTTTTAGGTAAAATTCAATCTCCAACTTTTTCTACATCTATGATAGTTGCTCTTGATGATTCAATTCATTTGAAAGCGGATATAATTCATCGAATGAAGCGTGAAGTAGAAAATGACACTAATCGAACTCGTTCAACAAATCACATCGAATATGATTTGTCACATGATTCAATTTTACCTCATCGAAAACGTATCCGACGTGATTATAGTCTAAATAAAAATAACAATATTTCAACATCTCCTCGTGCAGATGAACAACAACAACAACAACAGCCAGATACAGTAACATTTAAGAATGATTCATTTGTTATTAATAATTTAACAAACAATCGCCATACAGAAGAAATGGTACGTATATAGAGAAAAAGTTAGTTTTCTCGATAAAAAAACAAGTATTTTCTTTATAACGATAGAGCATTGAGAATTCGAGGTTTTAGAAAAACAAAAAAGATAAGTAAATTTAAGAACGGTAATATAAAGTTTTAGTCTTGATAGAGTCATACTTGAGACGTATAAACTTTTTCTAATAATTTCACATAGAGTTAAATTTTGTAGATGAAAATGATTTTTCTTTTTCTCCATTTAAACTGTAATTCAGTAACGTTAACTAGAGTGGGACGGTAACTCAGATTTGTAATCTAATATTCTACACTCGTTTAGCGAGTGTACTATGACTAAAACACCACCCATTAGATTATTTTAACGTAATAATCGATTTTATTTGCTTCTTTTAAACCATTGATCTACTCGTTAAAGATGAATATTATTCGAATATTCCATATATACGCTATCATTACTAGCAAAAAAAAATGTTGAACGTAGATTAAATAATAAGTTTTCACTATTATGTCTCTTTTGTTGAACTTTCTATGTAATTCTTTCCTTTATAGGATAACAGAAAAAAAGTTCGTAGTGAAATAAGTATAGAGAACTTTCTATTGAAAGAATTTATCTTTTTTTGTCTCTTGTACATAATACATAGATTAGAACCAGACAATAGTTGCCCTTGTATCGTTCTGTTAGTTTGACCTTGGGGAGAAAAAAATATATATATTTCGGAGATGGTAATATGAAAAAAAAAAGAAATACTGATAGTCGTACTAGGAAACACAAAAGAAAATGGAATGTATATACGACCTTCAGTGAATAGATCAAAATCCACTATTATATATGAATGAGGAATCGAAAGAAATAAAATACTCTTTTATCATTGATCTTCTTACCTAAACAACAGAGAAAGATAGAGAGACAATAGTTCTTAAATATCAGTTTAATGACTTCTGTTGTTATTGTGGTTATTGTTACAGAAGGTTAATACCGTAAAAACTAGATTCTCTATAGATTTATATTTGAGACGACAAATGGCCTTCTCTACTGTCAATTTGTTCCGTTAATAGAGAGATCTAAAGAAAAACAGAATCACAGACATAGACGAGTAATGGCATACTCTTTTTTTTCTTTGGTATAAAAATACAACAATTAATTAGATTGAAAATATATAATGTGTCAAGTCTATTTCTTATCGGAACATAGTAACATTAGAATGTCTAGTCTAAAATACTTTTTCTAGTAGGTCTATTCGACTCAAATATATATAACTAAAATTCTTTACACTTTTTTACGCTATCTTATCCTTGTGGACATTTAACAAAACATGTTTCGTTTGCTGAAACTGTCTTTATTATTAAGTTCGATATTTTTTTTGTATAATCAGTCAAGATTATTTTGAATTTTAAATTTTTTAAAAAAATGAACTCATTCTTCCATGAACTATGAGCACAAGAAATCAATCAATCAAACTTCTTAATGAGATAGAGAACAGATTATCTGTTAAAACGGAAGTTCAATGATGCAGTTGACGTTCTAGTTATCTAACACACTTCTCATGCATTGAGTTAACATTTTTTGTAACGTTGTATGGTACGATTACTATTGTTGTTCTCTAATTGACTTTTTATGATGAAACAGAAAACATTGTCCTTGAACATAAATAAGCGGACAATAGAATAAGATGAAGGACAAACCGTGAAGTGTGAAACGACAAAGTTTCTTTTAGAAGAAAAACTATATATTCATTGTACATGTATAGACAATATTCGTCATTGAAAAAATGGCCAAGAGATGAAGGTCAAGTGATGAGAAAAAAAGGGAATAGAAAAGAAAAACAGATTGTGTCGTTAGAAAACAACATGAAACACAAACTTTACCTTCTTGATAGACGATCGTCTATCAGTATACAATAAACACATTTTTATCAGATGGATGATGTTTCAGTTACCTTCTAAAACAGCCTACTTTTTTGAATAACATCTCAACAGAACATTTGTTGTTTTTAATCATGATTAGGTTTTTTGTCTATGTTAATGGCTGTCGAACTGAACAAAAAATGCTGATTAACTGCAAAAATTAGTTAGAATAAGTGTCAATTTAATTTATCAGTATCTTTCGGCAGACTATTTTTGAATTGCTGTAACCTACTATGACAAATAAATCCAAGTCAGAAATGCGGCTAAAAAGAATTTTGAAAAGAATCCTTTCTTTCCAGAGTGTACTACAAAAGAAAAGATGAAAAACAAGCGAGTTTACTTTGAATTAATTTCCCTTCAACAAATCAGATGTAAGGTTAAAAATATATGCTCTTTTATGGTCTGTTTAACATATTTCTCATTATGAAATATTCATCTTTTGCAGTTGTGTGTTGAAATTCGCTTGCATTAATTGTAACGACTCTTCTCCCAGAATAGAGAAGATCATCTAAGTAGCAGATCAGTCTGGATGATTTTTTCTGAATTTTGAGATACATCCAGACGTTTTCATCAAAAATCAAGTTGAGTTGGCGGACAATATAGACGAGCATGTGATATTCTAGATGTAGTAGAATGATTTTAAACCAAAATATAATTACTTTAATGCTAAATCAATTTTTAGGACGAAAATAATAATGATGATTCGTCTTCATCGGAGAACTGTAGTGGACATCAGCAGATGCCAAATAATACTAACGATAATGAATCATTTTCAACAAATGTTAAATGTTCTTTGCCAGCCAATGGAGCCACCATGAATGGTTTACTAAATCTACCAAGTAAACTAATACTCAGTTGTTTGTTTTCATAACTGGACCATTTTCATGACATAGATTCGTCTCCGAGTTCTTTATTAATAACAGACGATCTCGAAAATCAAACTCTACCGTTGATATGTTGCGTATGTGGAGATCGTGCATCAGGTAATAAAATAGTCTTCTCACAACATTCATTTATTAATCTTTTATCATCATATTTATGAATTATAAAGGTCGTCATTATGGTGTATTGAGTTGCGAAGGATGTAAAGGATTTTTCAAACGAAGTATACGTAAGCAAGTATTGTACACATGTTTGGGAAATAAAGAATGTCCTATCAATAAATTTATGAGAAATCGATGTCAGTATTGTCGACTGCAAAAATGTTTACAAGCTGGCATGAGAATTGAAGGTAACAACTTATTCATAATATCTTTACGTTTTAATAGTTATTTTTTTGTTTATAGCAGTTCAAAATGAACGACGACCATATTCAAATAATAATAATAATAATCATCAAAATAGCAACGGCAATGGAAAATCATCCGATAATTCATTAATAAATCGATTAAGAAAAATAGAACCGATGCCAATGTCAAAGGTGAGATTTCACGAAGAAATTCTGGATAATTCTTTAAATGTGTACCAGATTTTGCGTCGACATTATGCCAATCATTTGAAATCTTTAGGATTAGTATAACTTGAACTCTTGAGGATGAATATCATGTTAAAAAATTTTAAAACAATTGCACGGTAGTCTCGCGCACCTGTGGGAGCATTTTCCATCAGAACGTTTCCATCATTTTCTAAAGACACATTTTTTTTGAGCTTAATTAATAATGAAAAAAAATTAATTTGTTTTAAAATTTTAGTTTTTATCATCGAATTGTGTTTTGCCATTAACATCGTTATTATCTGGTTTCGCAAAAGCTACTGAATTATACGAGAATACACAACAACCGCTCGATACATCTCCAAATTCTAGTTCAACATCTGTCGGTAGTGCTAGTGAAAGTCCAACATACGTAAACACAAATGGTCAAACATACTCAGTTGCGTCAATATACAATGATCAAACAACCACAACATCGTTAAGTAATAGTGCAAATACATTGAATGGTACATTAGCAAATGTTCGAAAAAATTTATCCTATCCGACCAATCTTAATAATAATAACCAACATTCACCGACTGTCAGCTCTTCTTCATCATCTTCTACCACCTATTCGTCTCAACAAACAACTAGCACATTACATTCGATTTTGAGTTCAAGACCAAGATCACCATTATCAGCAACAAGTGTGTTTCTCTTAATGAAGATACTTTATTATTATGAGCAATATATTTTTTATTTAGGTGTATTTCTGACGCCTCCATCATCATTGCGTTTTGATAGTAACATGAAACCAGAAATAGAGAATAATATATCATCAAACCCAGTATTAGGAACAGCAACAAACATTGATGCAGCTATAACAAGAGCATTTGACAATTTGGCTAAAGCAGCCAATGTTAGTAGTAATAAAATGGTACGTTTATCTCTTATTCAATATATCTCTTATTTTAGTTGAACGTCTGTATTATAGAAACGATCAATTGAAAATGAAGTTAAAAGTAATTTGAGCATTGAACGACGTTATTGGGAACAAGTTAATCGTAAGTAAAAATGAAAAAAAAAATTATCACATACATTCTGTTGCACTTAGTGAAATTAGTTGTTTTATCATGACTATACAATTATTCAGAAATACTATGCAAGAGACAGTTATTGGGAACATTCTAGTAACACTTACTGAATGTAATTTAGGTCCATTAATCAATGAAAATTCGTGTTTATTCACTATCACTCCACCAACAAGTTCAACACCAGTTCAATTAACGGAAAGTTTTATATGCGAATCAGCTTCACGTGTTTTATTTCAATCAATCTATTGGATTAAAGCAAATAATTGTTTTAAACTACTCGAGTATGTATAGGTAAAAGAAAACTCAAGTCAACTATTTTTTGTTCTTATATAATTTAGTTCGAATGTTCAGATAATTTTATTACAAAAACATTGGCTTGAATTATTTATTTTGAGTCTGTTACAATGTTCAAATATTGTTCTTTTACCAAATATTTTAACAACATTGTTAACCAGTGAGTTCTCGTTGTAATATAGTTTAGATAGGTGTTATTTGTCATTCATCTGTTGTTATTGTCATCTATAGAAAAAATGCCGGATAAAAAATCCAAACAAATAAGTGAACAATTAGGTATAATTCAATCACTAGTCAATGAATTTGAACGTTTACAATTATTACCAATAGAATATGCTTATTTGAAACTAATAATTATATTTAATACAGGTTGGTTTTTGTTTTTATATCAAATTACTGAGATCATATGAGCATAACGTTGTTCAAACAATATTTTCTTTAAACAAGAATGTTTTTACTTTAGATTGCGTTAATTTTTTATATTCAAATGGTAAACACCATCAACAACAACAACAACAACATCAGGCTTATATTTCATCAATGATGCAAAAAGAAAAAATTCAAGCTTATCAAATATTAACGTACAAGGAATTTCGAGAATATTTAAATAAAACGTGTATGAATGATCTAGAACGATTAGGACGCTTATTGTTAAAAATACCAACATTAAAGTGTTTACAAATCTCAATAATTGAAGAAATCTTCTTTGTCGGTCTAATAGGTAGTGAGTATTTTTCAAGTATTTTATTAAACAATCCAGTAAATTCAATTAGGAAACGAAAGAAAATGACATACTTTTTTTGATAAGCAAACTATTCAAAAAATTTAAAAATCACGAAGTATTTCCTCAGTTTTTCTTTATGGATGCCATTTTATACTTCTCTATTTTATTCTTCTTTCTAAATAGATCTTAGAATTCCGATTCGCCAAGGGTCACACCATGAACTCTCCGACGAACCAGTTCTGATACAGTCAGATCATAGAGCAAATTAAATCCACTATGAGCAAAAAAAGTTTGAAGCCTAACAAATATGTATTCATTGAGGTATAAAAAATATTTCTATTCAAAATTTAAGACGATACATGATATTTTTGTAGAAATAAAACGTAAAAGTTGGACATTTCAGCCAACACATGTTGGTTAGAAATCAAATTTTTTGTACATAGTTATATATCCGATGTGTTTTTACAATCCAACTGCAAATTCATCAGAAAGTTCATGATACATCTCTGGAAACTTCCAAAATTATGAAAGACAGTCTATGTCAGCTGTTGCTATAATTGTAATATATTTCTCTGTTAAATGATAGAAATATGTTTATTTCAGGCAATGTTCAAATTGACTCAATAATACCGTGTATATTAAAAATGAATTCCAGTGAGCATAATTTAATTAATCCATCTTCTATATCAAAATTTCATCATCCACAGCTATCTCAACCAAATACAAATACAGAAAATCATTTATTTTCTCCATCATTGTTAGTAACAACAAGAACACCATTTTCCGAATTTTATCGAGAACAACAACAGCAACAAGTGAAATGTGAAACACTTATTAATGATGATAGTGAACAAACTTAAAATGTTACCGGTGAATGAATGCACTCTCTAATAGTCACATTTTTGCGTTTTATATATTTACAAAGTTGTCTATCTCATTCTGTCCTTTATTTTTTTCAGAGTCCTATTTTGTGTTTATGCAATCATTCTTATTTTAATTATTACCATAAATTTGTATATATATATATATGGGAGAATTTTCAGTTGATATGTACCGTTTCTATGACATTGTTTTTCGAAAAACGAATGAAATTCAAGTGGTAGAATCGGTGGTAGACCTCTCAAGGAAATAGAAAATGAGAGTTTTCCTACTATCAATCATCAGGGAAAGTTGGGCCTTGTTCGAACTTGTGGAGCTGAGCTAAACCCATTATTAAAAAACGGATGATGGATCAACCTAAGCTATCTAGCTCTATCTAGACTATTTTTGTATAATAGCGTTTTTTTTATAAAACTTTAATATTGAGACAATTAAACTAACAATTTTAAACATTTTTTTGCAAGCAAAATTTTATAATGAATAAAATTTTGCCTGATGATGAAGCGAGAAGCTTCGAAAGCTTGCAAAAAAATGTTTAAAATTGTTACTTTAATTGTCTCATTATTAAAGTCTAGTTCTATCTAGATATTTCAATTTTAGTGAAGTTTTGGGAGATAAAATGTTGATTTTTTGAAATTATGCGTGTTAAAAATTTTAAAAATTTCAGAATTGTCTAAATTTAAACTATTAAAGCTAAAATTTAAACCACAAAAATACTTGATTTGAAACACTTTGGACTCTTTCTCTCTATTGCCCTGTTGTTAGTTTGTGCATGAACTTTATTACTGTGGATCACTACGTCAGATAAACAAATGAAAGACGATCTGTCGTCCTAGATTTTAAGATACATCGACTCCATTAGGAAATCAGGTACAGAAAAAATAAAGACCAAGCAGACCAATTTTTTTTGTCTTTTTTTCTTTTATTAAAAATCAACTACTTTTCGAACAAACGTGTTTTTTTCAACAAAAATGATATAGAAACCAACAAAGAAGGGAACCTACAACAAAACAGATTAGATCAACCAAAAGAAAAAAAATTAAACTGAAAACGACTACTGTTTTGTTTTTCATAAGGAAAAAACTTTAAACAACTAAATGATCTAATTAAACTGTTCACTCAAAAACTATTTTTAACGACAAAATGATCAAATACTGTCCATTGTAATTAAAATTTTTCTTTCAAAAGTTTATTTTGTCCATCACTCCACAGCTTTGCCATATAATTCACCAGTTATTTCAGCATCAACCTGATGGCTTTTAGTTGTACCACCGACTGTAGATAACTTTGGTAATACATTTTTTACTGAAAATAAAACAGATGTTATGAATAGAGATGGGCATCGGGACCAAAACAATTTTCTGGTCCCGGTAAAAGATTTGATTGCCGTTCCATCACCTTCACGGTTAAAATATCATTTGGCCGTGCATTTTGTAGAGAAATGTTTCCTCTTTCAGATTATATATTCTAA